TGGGAGTATACCCCGAAGCTCCTTAGAGGTAAGGATGGCAAGACTTCATCTAACATACTTTAGCCATGTTTTCAGGAGAGGCCAGTCCCTGGAGAATGATATCATGCTTGGTAAAGTAGAAGGGCATCAAAAAAGAGGAATGTCCTTAGTAAGTAGACAGACAAAATGGCTGCAACATGGGCTCGAGCAGAGGAACAAACGTGGAGATGGTGCAGAACATGGCACTGTTTCATTCTGTTGTGCATACGATCACCGTGGGTCAGAATTGACTCGATGGCACCTAACCCCACCAACACAGTCTAAAATTGATCACATGTGCAATCAAGGTGGAAGTAGGAGGAGACCCTGGGGCATTTGCTTGAGTTAAAGATAACAGAGGCAAATATTGTTATATACACAATCCTGCGATAGTCACAATGTAATTCACAATAAAAAGTTTTAAAAGAGAACAGGTGCATTGATAATTACTGGTGTTTGAAATATTAAAATTAGTAGTTGAGAAATATAGCTTTAGTAGATACTGAAGATCTCATATTAAAATTTTACAAGACCAATCATCTATTCATTGTTAACTGTCTTTTTTCAACAACATAGCAGGTGACTTTACACATGGATCTCACCAGATGGAAGGCACAAAACCAAATCAACCACATCTGTGGATAGAGATGAAAGGAGCACAATATCATCAGAACAAGGCCAGATGCCAACTGCAGTACACATATATACCATCAATTGCACATGTACAAGTTCAAGTTGAAGCTGAAGAAAATTAAAACAATTGAACCAGAGACAAAATAAAACCATGAGTATACTCCATCTGTTTTTAGAGGCCATTTCCAGAACAGATTTGATCCAAACACTAACACCAAAGACTAGACAAATTGTAGGTTAAGTTGACATCAACATCACATATGAAAAAAGCAAAATGTTGTTTAAGACAGGAAAAACCAAAATGGATGTCAGAAGAAACTGACACTTGCTCTTGAACATAGTAGCTAACACAAATGGAAGAAATATGACATAAAAGAGCTGAACAGAAAATTTTAGAAGGAAATTCACAAAGCAAATTAATGAAATGTGCAAAGAGTTTGAGTTAGAAAACCAAAGGCAAGAACACAGCCGGCATTTCTCAAGCTGAAAGAACTAAAGAAAAACTCAAGTCTCAAGTTGCAGTGTTGAAGAACTCTGGGCAAAATACTGAACAACATTAAATACTGAAGCATTAAAAGATGAAAGGACTACCACCATTGTATGAAAATGGTTGACTTTCTAAAAGGAAATAGAGGAAAGAGCTAGGAGGCAAATGGCATTTATAGAGGTCTAAATAAAGGCATGTACATATGTAAATATATTTATATATGAGGATGGGGAAATAGATCTATGTGCATATATTAATAGGTTTAGTATTAAAATAGCAGATGGTCATTGGGCCTCCACTCAAGTACTCCCTCAATGCAAGAATACTTTGTTTTATTAAACCGGCATTTCACGATGCTCACCTTCCTGACACATCGCTGAAGACAAAGCAGGTGAATAAGCAAATGTGGTGAAGAAAGCTGATGGTGCCCGGCTATCAAAAGATAGGTCTGGGGTCTTAAAGGCTTGAAGGTAAACAAGCGGCTATCTAGTTTAGAAGCAACAAAGCCCACATGAAAGAAGCACACCAGCCTGTGTGATCACGAGGTGCCAAAGGGATCAGTTATCAGGCATCAAGGAACAAAAAACCATATCATTGTGTGCTCACCTCTCCGATATGATCACTGAAGACAAATGGGTGCATAAGCAAATGTGGTGAAGAAAGCTGATGGTGCCTGGCTATCAAAAGATATAGCACCTGGGGTCTTAAAAGGTAAACCTTGAAGGTAAACATGTGGCCATCTGGCTCATGAAGCAACAAAGGCCACATGGAAGAAGCACAACAGCCTGGGTGATCACAAGGAGTCAAAGGGATCAGGTATCAGGCATCAAAGAACAAAAAATCAAATCATTGTGATTGAGGGGGAGTGCAGATTGGAGACCCAAGTCCCATCAGTAGGCAATTGGACATCCCTTTACAGAAGGGTCTCAGTGAGGAGATGAGCCAGTCAGGGTGCAGGGTAGCAATGATGAAACATACAACTTTCCTCTAGTTCCTAAATGCTCTCCCCACCCCCCACTATCATGATCCCAATTCTACCTTACAAATCTGGCTAGACCAGAGGATGTACACTGGCATATATAGGAACTGGAAACACAGGGAATCCATGACAGATGACCCCTTCAGGACCAGTGGTGAGTGGCAATACTGGGGGAGTGGAAGGAGGGTAGAATGGAAAGGTGGAACCAATTACAAAGATCTACATATAGCCTCCTCCCTGGGGAATGGACAACAGAAGAGTGGGTGAACAGGGCAAGATATGACAAAATAATAATTTATAAATTATCAAGGGTTCATTAGGGAGCGGGAGGGGGGAGGGAGGGGGAAAATGAGGAGCTGATGCCAAGGGCTTAAGTGGAGAGGAAATGTTTTGAGAAATGAGGGTAATGAATGTACAAATGTGCTCTACACGACTGATGTATGTATGGATTGTGATGAGTTGTATGAGCCCCCAATAAAGTGATTTTAAAAAATGATGATGGCAACATTTATATAAATGTGCTTGACACTCTGGATTGTTATAAGAGCTGTACAAGCCCCCAATAAAGTGATTTTTTGTTTTTTAAAGAAAAAAAAGAAAATGGTTGACTTTCAGCCATTTTAGGAAATGTATATGATCAAGAACAGATGGTACTAAAAGAAGTTCAAAATGCACTAAAGACATTGGCAAAAACAAGGTTCTAAGAAGTGATGGAATACCAATTGAGGCGCTTCAACAAACATAAAACACTGTAAATGCTCACTTGTATATGCCAATATTTGGAAGACTGCCTTCTGACAAGCTGAACTGAAGAGTTGTGTATGCATGCCTCGTCCAAAGAAAGGTGATCCAACAGAATGTAAAACGTATCTAACAATATTAGTATCATATACAAGTAAAATTTTGGTGAAAATAGTTTAAAAGCAGTTTCAGACATACAGCAGGTAACTGCCAGAAGTTTAAACTGTTTCAGAAGACATGGAATAAGGGATATCATTACTGCTATCGGATAAATCTAGACTGAGAGTAGAGAATACCAGAAAGATGCTTACTTGTGTTTTATTGACTATGCAAAAGCATTAACTGTGTAGGACATAACACAGTGTGGGTAGCATTGTGAAGGAATGGGAATTCCAGGACATTTATTTGCGCTCATGCGGAGTCTATCTGTAAACCAACAGGCAGTTGCTCAACAGAAGAGAATGCTTCATGGGTGAAAATCAAGGAAGGTGAGGAACAGCTTTGTTTCCTCTCACCATACTCACTCAATCTGCAGCCTGAGCAAAGTATCAGAGAAGCTGGACTATATGAAGAAGAACATGGCATCCAGATTAGAGAAAGATTCATTAACCAACCTGCAATATGCACACCATCTTTTTTGCTGAAAGTGAAGAGGACTTGCAGCACTTACTGATAAAGCTCAAGCACTACAGCCTCAATATGGATTACACCTCAACACAAAGCAAACAAAACTTCTCACATCTGTACAGATAAACAGAGAAAAGACTGGAAGCTGTCAAGGATTTCCTCTTACTTGCATCCACAATCAAGACCCATGGAAGCAGTAGTCAAGGAATCAAATGGTGTATAGCGTGGGGCAAATCTGTTGCAAAAGACACCTTAAAAGCATGAAAAACCCAAGATGCCATTTTGAGGAGCAAGGTTTACCTGACCCAAGGCACAGTATTTTCAACCATAGGCATGTGAAAGCTGGACCATGAAGCAGGAAAAATGAAGAGCTGATGCATTTGGATTAGTGATTTTTAAAAATAATAATTTTATTGGCATATACTTCATATATCATAAAATTTAATTTATCATCATGTAGATCACATATCATAAAATATAATTTCAATATATTAAGATTTGTACAATCATTACCACAATTTCAGAACAGTTTCTTCTTCTGCCTATTGCTGTTGGCTTCCCATTCCACCCAGCCCACTTCCTCCCCACCATGCCCCTAGGCAATTATCAATCCTGTTACTGTCTATATATCTACCTATCCTGGATTTCATATACAGAAAAGCATACAAAATAAAACAGCAAACAAACAAAACCATACCACCAACAAAGACTAGACAAAACACAGAAAACCTTTAAAAAGGATAAAGGAAAATATTAAAATATTAAAAACTAAAACAACTTCAAAAAGGAGACCCAATGATGAAGTACATGTTATATTTTAACCTACCTACCGCACATCTGCCATAAAGGACTTACAATGCTCTCTGAGAGCAAGGCTATTCACATCCCTCAACTATGAACAGAGGGGATTCACCAGAGGCTTGTATATTATAGTAATTTGGAAGAATATCGAAACATTCACTTACAGAAATAAAGAGCAGAACTGTACTAGAAGTAGAACTAGGATGTTCCTCAGAAGCAAGGATGGTGAGATTCTCCCTCACATACTACTATGGACAAGTCATCAGGAGGGACCAGTGTCTTGAAGACATCACGCTTGCTACAGCAGAGGGTCAGAGACAAGAGGAATTGATACAGAGGCTGCAACAATGGGCTCGGACACAACAAACTGCAAAGCTGGTGCACAGGCAGTGTTCCATTCATAGGGCCACTATGGATTGGAGCCAACTCACCGATACTTAACACCAACCCACCAGTAAATGTTAGAGTTGAGCTTGAAGAAATGAACACATAGCCTTGAAATTTTTCTGTTTTCCTAGACTCTTATTTTGGTATTTAAAAAAAACTACGAGGAATAAAAAAAAAGAAATGAAAAATCTAAAGACATACATAATTCATTAAGAACTACCACCAGTGAGATTTTTTTTTAATTAGACTGTTTAACTATAGTACTTAGGAGCACTTATTGTCTTCCTATCTGTACTTGGTTAAGATTGAAAAACAAGGAAACCGGGGTCATGGGGTAGAAATACACTTGTTCATTAAGGCACAGATATTCTATAAATTTTATTAATAAATACAGTTGTGAAAATATATTATTTAAATAAATTTATCATCAGAAAACTTTGTGCATATATTATTTTACCTGGGAGGCCTGTACAAAAACCATTTTGCATAGATTTTCAACAGCTCAGTATGAATAATCAAAGATCTCATCTTTCACTCATGGGAAGAAGTTATGGCAAGCATAATGCGGTGCGTTTACAAAGTGGCAAGGGTGTGTCCTCCAAACATCATTTACTTGCCTCTAAGCTGAAATTCGGTCCAGCTATGCCAACGGGGAAAAGAAACTACGTGCGAGCTTTTTGTTTCCCATGGGAGAACAGGAGACAGCGTGAGGTGCGCAGGCCCTGGACATCTGAGATTTCCAACTTCAACCAGAAAAATTCTGAAAGACGTCAGCCGCCTCCACCCAGCGCTGGAAGCAGGAGAGGCCATGCTCCCGTAGCTGCTTCCGTCCTCTGTCAGTAATGACCTCTCCGCTTTGCTTCACAATCACGAGCTTGGGGATGGCTGTGATGTTGTACATCTTCTTCAGTTCTCTGGTGGGGGGACGGACACATAGCAAAAGATTACCGTTCTTGTTTGTGTAGCGCTCACAAGTGATACTGTTTATTTTTTAAACAGTCTTCTTGGCATATAATTCACATATCACACAATTCAATAACCTAATCATATTAAGATCTATACAATCATCAACACAATCGGTTTTAGAACATTTTCTTCTTTCTTGGACTTATCGTACAACCTCCTCTGCCACACCTCTAAGAAATCCTTAATTACAGTTTCTGTGGCTTTACCTATCCTGGATTTTATATACACAGAAAATCAAAACAAAGACAACAATAAAAGATGAGCATTTTACCTTGAGTGGGTCAACACCACACATGCAACAATAGAAGAAGGTATTCGCACACAACCAGTTCACAACAAAACTTCCACAAACCCTTTAGAACATAGTCCACTACCAGCTCTCCCTCTTATGTGGCTGCTGCCACCGCCACCGCCACCGCCACCACCATCAGCTGTCAAATGAACTCTGACTCACAGCGATCCCGTGTGTAGCAGGATAGACCTGTACTTCGGAGGGTTTCCATAGGGTTTGGGGGGAGTAGCTTGCCGGGCCTTTCTTCACAAGTATCTATAGGTGGACGGAAATTGCCATCCTTTCAGTTAAGAGCTACACAATTTCACCATTTGGGCCACCCAGATACTCTCCCAAGTTCCCCATCAATTCCTTTTGGGTCTCCTTGTTTCTTGTTGCCATAGGGTTTATAAGCCAAGGCTGTCCAAGAGAATTGTGCAATGATAGAAACGCTGTATAGCTGAGCTCTTTAATACAGTAGTCACATGTGGCTAGTTAGTACCGGTAGTGTGACTAGTGTAAATGAAGAGTTAAATTTTAATTGTTTAATATTAATTTGAATTTGAATAGTCACATGGGGTTAGTGACTACTATACTAGACCATGCAGTTCTAAACCCAAATATAAACACAGTGATTTATATCCATTTGTATATTTCAAGAGGTTAAAATAACCCGGGCACATACAACAGTAAAAGCTGGAATTCCATAAATGGTAATAGTTGGAATTCCATGAGTTCTAAATAAACCCAAAGTCTTACTAAACTTTCCACTCTACAAAAGTTAGTGTGCTCTGATTAACATTATTCTAGATTAAATACGTGGAGTTACATTTACTATCATCTATAATCCCATAAGAGGCCTCTTTCACAAAACTACTTGTATTCCTTTAAGGAAAGGATCATTTGCATTCTTCCTTGTGCAATTCTCTCTGTAACCTTCATAGGGATTATTTCCCTCAAGACAGAACAGCTGAGTGGAAATTCCCTTTTCCATTTATCACCGTCAGCCTGCAAGGACTTTACATGAACAATAATCTGATTTCCTTTACCTGCCACTCTCAGGATTAGGAGCCTGAGGGAAGGAAAAGGGTATTTGGGAAGCTTTTATTACCCAAATCTCCGCATGATACCTCCACCAAGGGCTTCCTGCTGCTTTCTGGCACCCGGACCAAAGACAAAGCATTAGCTCCAGCTATAAAAAAATGGTGACTTCAGTGTAATTCCCTAAACTAAAAAAGACAGAAACGAAAGTTATTTTAAAAATCTATGATGCAATTGACAGTAACTCTGAAGTCTAGCTAGGAAACTTCAGGAGCAAGAACAGCTCGGAGAACAGGGGGATCCGTGTCACTGAACTGTACCTGTGGAAACCGGTAAGTTGGTCTGTGTTCCACCGGGTACATTCTGAACGACTATTGAAAGATCTGCCCTATCAGCAACCCCGTTACTTGTGCAGTCTCCAGTCACTTAAGTGACTCCAGTCACATCCAGTCACAGTGACTCCAGTCACATCGCTGGCCTATACTCATATGATTTCCTTTTCTCAACAGTGTTTTAAATTCTATGCCACTGGCTAAACTAATGACACAAGATCAATGCATAGTGGTTACACACTGGGCTGCTAACCACTAGGTCAGCAGTTCAAAACTATTAGCCAGCTGCGGGTGATTGAGGAAGCTTTATACTCCTGTGAAGACTTGTAGGATCTGAAACTCACAGGAGCAGTTCTAGCCTGCCCTCTAGGGTCACTCCGAGTCAGCGATGACTTAATGGCAGTGGCAATGATGCCCCAGAGGGATGATTGATAATGTTCTCTAACATAAAATGACAATATCTCTAAGGTGTACCAAAGACATAGATAAACCATAGATGCATGAATGGATTTTGAGCTTCCTCTTAATTCAAACCCCAAAGAACAATTAGTTATTATGACATGGCCCTGCTTGATACTGAAGATACTGAAGAGACCACGGAAGATATGGGTGCTATAGAAAAGTGTGGTGAAGCCTGATTTAGGCTCTTGGTCTGTCCATAGAGTTGTACACTCAGTCACAGTGATAAGAGGTCAAGGTTGAATAAAATATTAACAGTGCACATTTTGGTACCTACTATCCTAAAAAAAAAAAAAAGTGTGGTGAAGAAACTAGATGGTGCCCAGCTATCAGAAAGAATAGTGCCTGGGGTCTTAAAGGCTTGTCTTCAAACAAGCAGCCATCCAAGTATTGTAAATAATGCACTCCAAATCTAAAGGAAGGAATGGTCCCAGAGCTGAAATTGTGGACACCTGGTTTGCAGAAGGCTCTGGATGGTGATGGAAACCCCAAATCCATGTTGCAGGATCCAAGCATGGAAAGCCTCCGGTGAACCCCTTCTGATCATAGTTGAGGGATGTGGATAGCCCTGTCATCAGACAGAGTGCATTGTAAAATTGACTATGGCAGACATCGTTAGCTTAACATATAGTATCTTATCATTCGCTCTCCCTTTTGGCCCATTTAAAGTTGTTTTCGTTAGAGAGAACGGGAAACATACATGGATTAAGCCCTGTGGTCTTGGACCAGGGATGTAAACAGCCTTGCTACCATGCAGAATGGATTGGAAAGTGGGTTATTGCAGATCTACAGTTAAGTTAAAGATTTGCATCCTATCATCTGATCTCTCTCATGATACATTTAAAAATTTGTTCATTTTAAATATTTTTTACTCTCATTTCTATTGAGGTTTTTTATGTTTTACTTTCTTATTCTTGTTTGTTTTTAATGTTTTTCTCTATATGGAATCCAGGATAGGTGCTTGATAGAGACAGGAAGTGGGTTAGGGGGTACTTGGGGGTGTGACGGGAGGCTGGGGGAAAGAGGGAGCTGATAACAGTGAGTACAAGAAAGAAGAAAATGTTCTAAAAATTGCCTGTGGCCATGATTATACAACTCTTCCTGATATGATTCAACTATTGGATTGTAAGATATGTGGATGAGGTGGCAATAAAACTGTTTTTAAAAAATAAAAGAGAAATAAATACACATTGGATTTATCAGGCACCAACTGGGCACAGCCTGTTCATAATGCAAAAAAAGGCAGAAGCTAGAACCTAAGCTCTGTGATATGTAATCAAGCTTTGGCCAATCAAGGGACTGTGAAGCAGGCTGAGGTTTGAGCAAAAGAGGTTTGAAACCGTTTCTCCAGCCACCAGGATCAGCGCTAAAATCCCTGCCCTGGCACCCATGGCCTGGAGAGAAATCTAACTTTGAAACCACATGGGAGAAGCAAATAGCAACCACCCCTCCCTAAAGCCACTCCATTCCCTCTGAGTCTATCAGTTGTGTCCAGAGAGAATAGAAGGTGCTTTGGAAACAAATTGTTGTCAGATAGAATGAACTCATAATTCAGGAGTACTTGAGCCATTTTGTGAAAATGTAAGGGCCCTGTTTTTCCTTGTTTTGGGTCGTGCTGCAAAACTAGCTCCTTCACTTCACAGAGCATAACCTCCTCCTTGCCCCTGGCATAACTGTGCTTCTGGTTACCCAACTCTATCTCTAGCCTCTGCCCATCTCACCCTCCAGCAAATTGTTGCCAAGCAGATCTTAAACGTTATGGAGCTATGAAGAGAGAAAAAAACTGATGTGCTGGGTTGTCTAGTTTGGCTAGAACAGGGCAGAGTTGGGTATAGAGGAGACTTGGTAGGGAACCAATTACAAGGAACTATATGTGACCTCCTCCCTGGGGGACAGACAACCGAAAAGTGGGTGAAGGGAGATGTCGGACAGGGCAAGATATGACAAAACACCAATTTTAAAACTATCAAGGGCTCATGAGGGAGGGGGGAGCAGGGAGGGAGGGGAAAAATGAGGACCTAATGTTGGGGGTTTAAGTGGAGAGATAATGTTTTGAGAATAATGTACAAATGCACTTTACACAATTGATGTGTGTATGGATTGCGATAACAGTTGTATGAGCCCCTAATAAAATGTTTTAAAAAAAATTTAACTTGATTCAAAAAAAAAAAGAGGAGACTTGGTGTGGGAGGAGCGTGTGGGTCCACCGCTGAAGACTAGGTGGGGGCAGGATTCAGGCACCGGGAAAGCGAAAATGATGGTGCAGCAGCTTGAGTCAGGAGTAGCAACAATTCCTCTGTGCTTGACAAAAAATGAGATGGGAGAGGGAATGAGGAATTGATTGAATGAGAGCACTAAGGTCTAGAAAGGCAGTCAGAATAAATATTCTACTGATACAGCCTCAATGAGTGCGAAGATGGAGGATCCAAGGAAAATCAGAGTTGTATTGGGCAGGCTTTGGAAACAGAGAAGGGGTAGGGGTGGCTCCAGAGAAGGCAGGAAGGCAGATATGCAGAGAGGTTTGGTGGGAAGACAGATTTGAGAAGCCCCGGCACAGGCATTGACTCTGCAATGCAGTTGGTAATTCTACTTGAACCTTTCTCTAGAAAACAAGCCTAGGCCTATTTCATTTTTCATTAGATCCTAATCTATTGGCCTGGAGGACTAGGTGATGTAGAACCTGTTCAGGGCTGGGGAGTGGTGGTAAGAGAGATGGCAGGTGAGGAGAGGGCCAATAAGCATTCTCCCTGGGGTATACATTGCTCCAGAAGAGAGTATACAAGCTATGTTAAGGGATGTACAAAATCACTGTTGGTTGTGTCTAGCATGAGAGGCAGCATATGACCACATTCATGCTAGCAAATGTAGAAGCATCTACTTATCCTTTGAAAGAAAACGAATTTTACCCATAAGTCTAATAATAAAAGGAAAGGAAAGAATCATAGAAGCATATCTGAAAATATCGCTAAATCTGGAGCATCAGTAGAAGTTGTCTTCCATGAAAAAATAATAATTTATAAATTATCAAGGGTTCGTGAGGGAGGAAGGGTGAGAGAGGGATGGGAAAAAATGAAAAGCTGATACCAAGGGCTCAAGTAGAAAGAAAATGTTTTGAAAATGATAGTAACAAATGTGCTTGACACAATGTATGTATGTATGTATGTATGTATGTATGTATGTATGTATTAAGAGCTGTATGAGCCCCCAATAAAATGATTTTTTAAAAACAAGTTGTCTTTACTGTTACCCTTGCTACAAGTTAAGGAAGATACAGCCTCTCTCCACTGGACACATCTGTACCAAGCCACAAGGATAACAGAGTGGGAATGAGCTAATGTCCCAGCCCAGTGTCTGAACAGCTTTGGAACCAGCAGTAAATGTGTGCTTCTCTAGGGTGAAGGGCAGCACTGTCGCTGTGTTTTGCCTTTAGAGCATGCTGGAAAACTAAAATCCTCAGAACGTTGAGGGCACATGTGAGGGAATCTAGGCCCGTCCCTTCCCTGTCGGTGCATGTGCAGCCATGACTAACTCTAGTTGCCCCTACAGTAAAACAAAAGGGGCAGATTTCTGTGGAGACATCTTCCTCAACTCAGGTGGACACTAGTACACAACTATGGCAAGTTTGTGTTTCCGGGGGCCTCCCTACTGTGCACTCCACAAATGGAGCATCAAGCTGACATGTCTGACCTGGACCCCATCTGAACACTGCACCCAGCACCCTGTCTTGTGTTTTTGCACACACATTGAAAACTTGAAGAGACTTGGGAGTTAGCAAAGGCCAACAGGTTCCTCCTGTTCTGAGCCCGTTCCTTTAAATGCCTGAGTCCCAATCCGGACGGGGGTTTCAGTTAAGCCAGGGGAAACACGTGCTTGGCTCTTTCTCCCCTCTTTGGGTGTTCAAGGACTTGGGAGGCGGGTGCGTCCCGGCCCCCCAACCCATAAGAATCTATCAATTCCCCCATCTCTGTTCTGAGCCCCTCTAGAGGAAATGAGCCCATCTTGGGGGATAGTTTGTTTCTTCAGACCCGTGCTAACTGAGAAGACCCTCCGTGCATCAGGGAGGTGGACCTTCCAGCTGGACCTGTAAGGATGACCACAGAGAGGAGAGTGGACCTCATGGGAGGTCTTCTGGGGAAAAAAAGAAAAGAAAAGAAAACTTGAAGAAATATTACTTGGAAGCTCAATATACCCAAACTCACACCCACTGCCATCAAGTCCAACTTTTAGCGACCTTACAGGGCAGAGTATTTACATTACGTTTTAGCTATTCCTGTTGTTGGCTATTTTCATTATGTTCGTGGCTCGATTCCATAAATCTAGGTTTTCAGGCAATTTATGGCAGTGCTCCAAGAATTTCCAGAAAGTGTTACATTTCCTAATTTGCCAATTGCAACGATCGGGTTTACAAAGTTCTGTCTGGAAAGCGAGGACAGGCACAACAAGCTAACTAAACTCAAGAAAATTAAAAACTGATGGGGGGCTGCTCCCCCACTCTCCCAGGTAAGGATTTTGAAATAACCGTACCCTGAACTGCTTAGCTGCCTCCCACTGGCTACCAAGAGCTCAGAAATTTCAACCAGGTAATGTGAGGAAGCGCTGGGAGCTCCACAAAGCCCTGAGAGGTGTGCTGCTGGGTGCTAACACCAGGTATCATTTGAAAGGTTGGAGGACTGAATGCTACAAAAGAAAGATGTGGTGACCCACCGCATAACAATCAGCCACGAAAACCCGAAGGCGTCCCACCTGCACTCACAGCACCTATAAGATATTTACCCTTCAGAGGTGACAGGAAAATCAGAGAAGCCAGATTTTCTAAATTAGTCTTAGATCACACTTTACTAGGAACACCTGCGTGCCCCATGATTGGTGCCTCTGTCATAACCCTTCTTGGCGGAGGCCACACATCCTCCCTGAAATCCTCCTCAAGCCTGCCAGCCTCCTCTCGGAGCCCACTGCTACAACCAGGGGAGGCCGGAGCAAGATCAACTTCCAGTTCGCTGCAGCGAAACTCTGCAACTTAACGCAAAGGTGGGGGGCCTGCAACAGCAAGGGGCAGACCCCAGTCCTTCAGGAATAGAGGGTTTCGTCTCCTCTAACATCTGCCCCTGCATGAGTCCAGGAGGCTGGTTCTTTCCACATTTCCAAAAGCTTTCACAATTACAAAATTGCAGTCACTGCCAATAAAAACAGAGCCACAAATAGAGCCCAGTAAAGGAGCTCCCAGAGGACCTCACGCCCCATTCAGTCAAACCTACCTTCTTAACGCTTGCGACATTCTCGTTAAGGCCCAGCTTGTCCTATGTTGTGCCTCTCACACTAGTGCCTTACCTGCCGTCCTGCCCCGCCCCGTACACACACTCCCTCTCCCTCTTCCTCCCCCCGCCCCCCCTCTCCCTCTCCCTTTGTCCCTCGCTCCAAGGGAATTGACACCATTGCAGGACCAGGCCGCCTGTGCCTCCGCCTGCAACCTCAGGAGCTACGGTTCCCAGAGTTCGGTCAGAGCATCGGAGCATCCCTCTCCGGAAAAGCCCGTTCCCAGCCGACGTGGACCGAGGCGACCGAACCGGGGCTGGGGAAGCAATCCAGCCCCTGGCTGAGGCTTGTTCGAGCCAGTAAGCCGCCAACCTGTGGAAAGAAAGTTCTAAGCGGGGCCATGGGGAGGGGAGGGGCAATGGCGCCCGGCGCGGCAGCCCCAGGGAAGGAGAGTGCGCGGCCCGGCGGCCCCGCCCGCACTCACAGCCGCAGCGGGTCGTGGAAGGGCAGCGCCAGCCAGGCGCCGTGCATCTCGCGCATGAAGGCCAGCATCTCCTCCGCGCTGCCGTCGGCTGACACGAAGACCACTTCGAAGGGCGCGGCCGGCTGGGCCTCGTGCACCAGCTCCGTGTAGAAGTCGCAGAGCAGCGGCGTGAAATCGCGGCTCGGCGCGCAGCGGCCGGCGGCGAAGTACAGCGCCACCACCTTGTTCTGCAGCGCCGCCTCGGCCTCCACCGCCGCGCCGTCGCGGGCCCACAGGCGCCGGCCGCCCAGCACGTCCACCATGGCGCGGCTCGGGCACCCCGGGCCGGGCCACCGCTCCTGTCTCGAATTTCAGCCGGGGCAGGGGCGTCGGCACGACGGTAAAAGGA